TTATATAGTTCATCAGCTTTTGAATGTGTGTCTGTCTGTGTGTGAGAGAGAGAGAGAGAGAAAGAGAGGTAGATGGTCTTACCGGTCTATACGGTTCTTGAGCTTTAGAAGGAACTGCTCACTGTGCTCCTGTGGAATTTTAACCAGCCTCTCTATCAATCTCTTCTTTTCATGAAACCCGAGACTCTCAATCTCCACTTCTCTTCTCTCACCTTTCGAGCTGCTGAGAATCCCTTTCCGAATCCTATCATTTGTCGGCAATCTTTCGAGTGCAGCCCATCTCGCTAGCTCTACGTCGTCTTCTTCTCCATGAGAAGACCTCGAGAACATGCCATCGCCTGTGTTCCTCGGAATCGAGGAGCCATTTCTCCCCATGCTGCCTACCCTGCCCACATCATCGTTCCCCATTGAAACCACCAAATAAAACCACAGCAATCTCTCTCCTCCTCTCTCTCTCTCTCTCACTGAAAATCTCTACACCCCAAAAAGGAAAACAGAGCAAAGAATGAGATTTCTTGTGCTCACAGATGCTCTGTTCTCAACAAAAACGCGCTAAAAAAACTTCACTCTCTTCAAGTTGGAGGCCCTCAAAACTGAACCCCAAGACCACTCGATCCTGTTTCTCTCTCTAAATGAAAAAAAAAACAGTCTCTCTTTCTCTCCTCGTTTCTCTCACTGAGTCTCAAGTCCAAAAAGGAAAACAGAGCAATTCTTGGGTTCACAGAAGCTGCAATCCTTTCAACAACGAACACTTAAAAACTTGAGTCTCTTCACCTTGTAGACCTTCAATGCGGAGTCCCCAAACCACCCAATTCCAGTTTCTCTCTGTAAATTAAGACGAAAACAGAGTGTCTCTCTAAGGAAAATAAACTAGAGGAAGTTGAGAAGGTGTTCAATTGGGCAGTTAAATTTGAAATTCCAGAAGTCCTAGGGTCCGTTATGTGAACTTCAAACCGCTTAAGTATTACATACCGAAACAAAAAACGCGTGAGAATTATTACACACTAAAAAGGTCTCATATACTAAAACTATTTTCCGTTGTGCCTTGGTCGGGGACCCACCATGCTAACCTAGGCATGGCCAGTGAGCTTTAACATAAGCCTGGAGCTTGACTTCAAAATGGGCCAAGCCCGAAAGCCCAAGGGTAAGATAAGGGGCCATAGTTGTTGGATTGCGTCGCCCAACATCAGCATCGTCTATGGGCAATTGACGGTGTAAATTGCACAAGAGAGGTTCTGGATTCAGTAAGGGGATCGCCCCAGATACCTGCTTATTCCGTTCCAGATTAGCAACACCCGACACAGATCAACCATTTTTAAAACATTATTCTTTAAGGTTTTTTTTTTCTTTTAAATTTTGACAATTTAACAAATGGGTGCAGTTGGCATACGGATGCATGCGTAGGTGTAGAGGTAAGGTGCGCCTTCAAATTTTATCGTGGTATATAATTTTGATGTAAAATGTTATTAGGATTATCTCAAAATTTATTTTTATATCTAATTATAAAACTTTAAATTTAAAAAATGGTTAAAATCAAGTAGATCAATAAACATACGAAAATCTTGAAAATAGAC